AGCAGCCACCTTGCTGCTCCTCTCATCACTTCCATTTCTGGGACAGTGCCTTTCTCTAGGAAGGGCTGGAAATGACCCCTCTGGCCTTGGAGAGCTGCACACCAATGCAAGGTGTCAATACACCTGAAGTTTTTACTGAGCATGTGCAGACTGTGGGGGCACGCCCCTTACCCATGGTGGGGAATGGGCATCATTGTTGGAAAGTGGTGGGTGAAACATCTCACCGCGTTAGCAGTTACGACCCCAGTTAAGGCCAGTGTAGACCTCTGGAGCTGAGCTGGGGCTTGATGACCAACAGGCCCAGGCCCCGCTATCTCTGTGGGTATACAGTGCAGGGCATCCAACCACAAGGACAGACAGTCCCTGAAAGATTAAGAAATTCAACGAGTACCACTGAACTTGACTTGCTTACAGACGGTTTCATCTCAGGAATAAGGAGAAAAAGTGATAAACGAAGTGCTCATGGGAGCAGAAGCCTAACCAAGGAAAGCAGCAGAGGAAAAATCTGACGACGAGACCAGGGAGTGATGGGAGCTGCTCCCAGACGGCAAGAAGACTGGCCCAGAAGGCAAGGCACAGGTGTAACCCAGGGCCGAGGTTCCAACTCCAAAAAGAAACGCCACCAACACCAACACAGGTGACCCCAATGGGAACAAACAACAAGCATATTAAGGACGGTGGTGAGGCGTCACGAGGAACTCGAGGCATCGTAAAACAACAAACAGAAGAAGAAAAGATGCCCTATACTGACAAGGTCAAACGTGCCCATGCCGCCAAGCAGGAAGGAGCCCGCACCTCGCAGGCCTCTGGCAGTCAGAGCTGCTTTCGCCAGGTCTCCTGGCATCCAGACACCACAGGACACAGGCAGGCTCAGTCTCTTGATTTTCACCAAAACACGGAAAACGACAAGTGCTATAAAATGTAAGCAGGTGAGCCTGCGACCCAATCCGGACATAGTGCTGCCAGTGGCAATGAGCAAACAGACGGTTTACAAAGACCCAGAATGGGAAGTGGACTATCCTGACAGCAGCAGGGGCTCACCAAGAAAAAGTCCTGCTCATGGGTAGACCCCCAAGACTACGATCCCTAATCACCCTTCAGGCTTGAAACTGAACTCACTCCCGTGGCTTCCACCCAAACAGCAGACTCCTTGGAGCGATCAGTTGTGGGAGAAGAGAAGGGCAGTGTTTGCACAGGGAGACAGCTCAGGGGGCAGGAGTGCACGGCAGGGAAGAGGTAACTACAGGGAGGACATGGGAAGAGAGCTGCTCCATTACAGGGAATTTCAGTCAATGACACGAACCAAAATGTATATGAACTGCTGTACGGAAAATGAATTTGCGTTGTCAACTTTCACCCCAAGCACGGTAAAAAAAAAAAAAGGAAAGAGTAAGTCTCGCCCAATCAGTCTCACTGTCCTGTTCTTAGCTGACACACATATCAAGAGAGGCTGCAGGAGAGGTGTCAGGGTAAGACCAGGAGGGTGCCTGTGAAATCTGCAATTAACATGAAACTTAGTACCCTACATCGCAGACACACAAGCAGGAGTTTAAAAGATTCAGAGAAGTGCGCTGATGGTATGCCCAAAAAAAGCCAATCTGGGGAGAACAGTGTGGAACAAAACTCAAGATATTTGGAGGGGAAAAAAAAGGGGCGGGACCAAGTTTGCTGGTCTGATAGAGCCTGGTGGAACCACTGAGACTATGGCCCCTAGC